GGGTGGTGGTGGTGGCGGTGGGGTGGTGGTGGTGGCGGTGGGGTGGTGGTGGTGGCGGTGGGGTGGTGGTGGTGGCGGTGGGGTGGTGGTGGTGGGTGGTAGTTGTGGTGATGATGATGATGATGATGGTGATCAGTTAAAACCAAAACAAATAAAACGGAATTAAAAAAATTGCAAACGATCACTACTGCTCAACTAGGCTATTGACCAAATACAAAAAATTAAAGAAGAATTTACGAGTTTATCGATCGCAGAAAAAATTCTCAGTGGAATTTCTACCAAAAAAGCCAGTTTCTAAAAAGCCACTTTCTACCAACTATTTTTGGTCATATCGATGATGATGATGACGATAACTGCACGAGTTTAATAAATCACTCAATCAAATTAAGGCGTGTTTTAAATCAGTGAGAATTAAGGTAAAGTATATCTAATAGTCGTTCCATGTCAAGTCAAGTCATTCCAGGTCAATTTAAAATGGGGCAATTCCTATTGCCATTGAAATCCCATTCATGCATGATATGCGATCGTTCGTCAATTTAAGCAAAATTAGCTCTAAACTAATAATTCATGAACTGGTATTAATTTTTTTATCGAGTACGCCTAATGTCATGTCTCTTGCACACCACCACATTTGCGGCCGAAGAGTGTGCGATATCCTTACTACTAGCGGAATATCAGTAGACATGATTTTACGCCTTGACACCCGCCCCATAACGTGAAGTATTTCAGTTTACTTGCCAGTTTACGTGGAGTTGTTGATCCGACAAACACTGCCTACTACTCATAGGCATTCAGTAGAAACTTAATGTACACCTCGATATCATCCCTCCTCCTAACATGTCAAATGCTCCAAATCCAAGATTTAACGCGCTCCACTTTGTTAGCTCTAAAAAGCCATTTTCTCCGCAGTCGTCGAGTCAGTCAGTGATGCCCAGTACTACTCACAGCTATTCAGTAGTCGTCATCATAACCTAATTTACACCTGGTGGTGGTGGTGATGTTGATGATAATGACGATGATATTGACAGTGATAAGTTAAAATCAATCCGATTAAAATGGCATTGAAGAAATTACAATAGAAATCTGCTCCTAAACAACTAATTCTCGTCTAGGCTATCGACCAAATTTGAAAAATTAAAAAATTTAACAAATTCTTGCTCAAAATCAAACCGAAACGTGTTGAAAATTCACACACTAAGGAAAATTTTAATCGGAAACTCTACCAAAAATACATCCATTAACGCACTTTCTATGAAAAATTCATTCAAGGTGCTGATGACTACGACGAGTGCACGGGTTTATTACGTCATCCAATCAAACTCAGGTGCGTTATCAATCATCTACTCATCGTCCCAGTGAGAATCAAAGTAAAGCAAATCTAACTAATTGTCGTTGCAAATCAAGTTGTCACTCTAGGTCAATTTAGAGTGAGGTAATTCCTACTGCGATTGAAATCCAATTCATGAAATCAGCAATAAACTAATTATTCATGAACTGATATTAAGCCAATTTCAATGGAACTAAACAAATTACAAACGTAAACTGCTCCAACTCAATTAAACCTAATCCGGCCTATTGACCAAATACGAAAAATTGAAAAGTCAAGCTAATTCTTGGTCAAAATTAACCCAAAGCATTTTGAGAATCCACGAGTATATCAATTTCAAAAGATATTCTCATCGGAATTTCTACAAAAAATATCTCTATAAACCAACTTTCTATCAAATATCCGTGGTGATGAGGATGACGACGACAACTACACGAGTTTAATAAACCACCCGATTAAATTAAAGTGCGTTATTAAGGACCTATCTATCGTCCCAGTAAAAATTAAACTACTACAAATCTAATTGTCGTTCCAAGTCAAGTCAAGTCGTTCCAGGTCAAGTTAAAGTGAAGTAATTCTTATTGCGATTAAAATGTAATTCGTGATATGTGGTCGTTCGTCAATCCAAGCAAAATCAGCTCTAAATTAGACATTCATGAGCGTCTATTTAGTAACTTTTTTTCAAGTACACCTGCCGTCGTGTCTCCGGCACACGTCTATCGAGAAGCTGCATTAACTCTGCAACCACAGAGTCTGCGATACCATTACTACTAACGGAATATCAGTAGACGTGTTTTCCTCCTTACCATCGCCCCATGACGTTGAGTATTTCAGTTTAATCGCCAGTTTACGTGCAGCTAATTCGAAAAATCCTTCCTACTCATCGGCATTCAGCAGAAAAGCAATTTACACCTCGATAACATTCTCCAAGCGTGTCAAATGCTCCAAATCCGAGATTTAACGAGCTCTATATTGTTATGCTCTAGAAAAAGCCATTTCCACCGCAGTTTTTGAGTCAGAAAGTGACACCCGATGCTACTCACATGCAAAACAAGTTCACACCTATTCAGAGACCTTCCAAGTCCCTCCTCCCTCCCCTCCCCCGCCAAACCCCTCTTCGAGGGGTTTGTTCTTGCCCGCCTCCCCCCACCCCCCCAGGCATATAAGTCGAGGGTCCACCTGAAGCAGCTCGAAACGGGTTATGCAGCATTTAACGAAAAAAAACGTTTTTCCACCAACTAAACACCTCTCTTTGCACGATTTAAGGCCATTCGCACAAATTCACACTAAATACCGTCACCTACAGCATTTACTCAAAGTGTTGCTTTGACGCATCAAAATTATCACAATCGTCTACTTACCCTCGTCGCGGAGATCTCATCCTCCTCCTCCTCCTCCTCGTCTTCTCTCCCACATTCTTTCTCCCTTCCTCCCTCCCTCCCGCTTTCCCCATCTCCTTCTTCTTCTTCTTCCACCAGTCCAGTCCAGTCCACTTTAACGAGTTGCCCGACGAAGCCAGAGCGGCTGTCGCTGAAGCACTGCAGCACAAGGCATCATTCGTCCCCAGGAGGCGGTCTCTGTTTCCAAAAAAACACAAGGGGCAATGCATTAGACCGCACACTAACCACCAAACTCATTAACGTGCAACTAGTGGTGATACGCCGCCCCACGCACGCGCTGTATCCACCACACACACTCATATTGCGTCTCTGTACCGAAAACTCACCTTTACAACGCCACGCCACTCAACTCCACCAAGTCACTCTGGTGTCCCGCCGAACCTGCCATCTTCCCAAGGCACACCACCACCATGGCAACTCCAGGCAGCCACCCACTCCACAGTCCGATTCCGTCGATGATCACGATCGGGCAATGGAAGTGGAAGAAGGAGACGCAGAAGAAGACTGCAAACTCATCTACCTAAACCACCGAATCACACTAACAAGCCACACTGCATACCACTGTCTGCAGGACGACCACCGCCAACACGACCGCACACCAGCCCGTTCACCGACACACTGAAGCCTCCTCGCCTGTCGCCTCCACAACCTGCACAACCCACAACCAATCAAATAGCTCAGCCAATTACAGACTCCCATCTTTCCTCCAACAACCACTCACAATCTGCGAACCACTGCGTGCGTGCGCCAATCACCACAAAGTCACCACTACCACCACCACCCCTTTTTCCACATCATATCAGTCAGTTGAGATTAAATAACCAGATGCTGGCCTGATTTATTTGCAGTTTCTCACCAACTCAGCCAAAACAATTGGCCG